TCGTAAATTTTCCCTTATTCCACAAATCCATTTTTCGACTCTTATATCAACTTTCCAAAAAAATCAGTTTTCAACTACACTTAAAATATCGATGCACTCTACGCAAATGTGCCACCCAAAACCCCAAGTACTTTTTCGAATAGAAAGCCAACTTTAAACCCATTAAAATATTCCCGAGGTAAAATTGTTTTTTACTTGAATAGATTAATAATTAAATATTAATTTAGGATCAGGTTATTACACTACAGCCTACCACAGCCGTGATTGTAGTTTCGCCCTTGCCTATGATAATATAATGAACCCTTAAGATGTGATTAGAAGTCTATAATTAGCAAATATTTTATTGAACATTGTTGATGTGGACCTTAACAAAAAACAAATGAAGCTATTAAAACGAAGGTCTAAAATATTGGGGGTTTTGGAAATATCGGTAGTTCAAAAATGCGGAAATATCGATGGTAATATCAGGAAAATGTCAACATTGTTAAAAATTGAATAAAAACCACATAAATTGTAAGAAAAACTTGGAAATTTTGATTCAAACCTTAGAAGATGTGTATTTAGTCAATTATCTATTATTTTATCACCCAAAAAAAAAGGGAAGGAATTGCATTGCATGGTCAATTTAACTGATTTAAGTTGATTATATAGTAAGCTGACAAACACTGTGAATGTAGAAAATATGTAGTAATTAATGAAAAAATATTAAACACATCATGATCAATTATTTATAATGATTTACTGCAATATTTAACACTTTATATATTGCATGGTGTTCAGGCCCAAAAGATCCAAGGCTGGGTCCAAATATATTTCTAGTCAAATACAACACTTAACCAGGAAAGAAGCCTGACTTGGGTATGCAAGAATTTGTCGTATGCGCTTGCGCAAGTTATGGTCCACATGCCACGCCAAGCAAACACCCAACAAGCTTTGCAAAGAGGTCTTAACAAGGTTGTAAAATGTATTGGTTCTATGAACCCGCGCTTACTGTCCCGTCAAGCACTGTTTAGCCCGGTTATAACCCACTACAATACGGGAAAGCTCAAGCACAAACACGCCAAGCAACGTGCAACGCCAAGCGAAAAAAGCTTTATTTTGGCACCAAGCCACGCTATAAGCTTAAGTGGGCCCAAGTCATGCAAATGCTTGGGGCTTGCTGAGCGGGTTGCGGTATGGATGGTCACAAGTGTTCATGAGGCTCATTGATAGACTAATGAGTAGAAGTTTTGGGCTGCTTGGGAGCACCAAACTCATGCCCATTTCTTGAGCCCAAACATATGGGTAAGCATAAGAGAGAAAAATGAACTAACACCTTAGAAAATATCCAATAACCCATCTGAAATTACCTGAAGGATAATTAAAAATGCCTAGAGGAGGGTGAATAGGCCAATTTATGATTATAATCAATAAAACAAAAAATAAACTTCGGTAGCAGGATTGATATGGCTTATCAATCCTGAAACGTGCTAGGCATAAAACAAAAGAACACGTAGAGAATTATTTTACGTGGTAAAACCCCACCTCTGGGGAAAATCCACGGGACTCCTCAATCCAAAACAAATCCACTATAGAACGATGATTATAAGAAGTACTCACACACTTATCCTAGACACATTCTAGATAATGTTTACCGACTTCTTCGTAACTCAACTTCTGTCACAGGATGATCTTTCGACACTCCTTATGTTGAACGCATTACTGGTCACAATTGCTTCAAGCTCGCCGGATTTCTTCCAACTCTCCTTAAGTTGAATCCGATACTGGTCACGATCAATTCAAGCTCACCGGAGAAAAACCGCCACCACGATCTTGGTGCCCTCAACCGTATGAGTCACCGACATGCATATGAATGCAATATGAATGATGAAAGGATTTGATAACTCACCAAGTAACAAATGAGCACTTGATGAATTACCAAAGAAAATAAGCACGACAGCTTTTTCTAAAGGATTCAATATGTTCAAAAATATAATTGCATTGAAAAAGCTACTCAATGAAAAGAACCAACCGTCCTTTTATTCAAAGCAGGTTTCTCTCCTTGGAGAGAAACCCATGTTGCCACACTTGCTATGCAACTATAACTCTAAAACCTATTCAAACTAAAACTCCTAAACCTGATGCAAAAAGGTCTCTTCATGAGACGCCCAACAGATGATAAAACAATTATCCAATTATGGATATAAAATCTGATTCAATAAGGACTCATAGTGACGACACCAAACAACCACTATTGTTGAGAAATAATTTTCTCCTGAAACAAGTTGACTAGGTGATAAGCATGGTGCAGTCACGATAGTAAACGCTAATATTTCAACTTAAATCACAAATAGCTTTAATTATAAATCCTATTTTGAATGCATGATTATGTCATGATTTACCTGTTGTCAAGTTTCTCATATGGTCAAATCATGCCTCGGAAGTATGGGGTTGAATGAGTTGTGCCAGAACGTCTAGTAACAATTCCTCACAACCTAATTTGCAACCTATGCTAGAGTCTAAGAAATGCTAATACAATTTTCATGCTAACACCATCACCTTAAGAAAAGACCCAAACACTTTAGAAAATATCCAATAGCCATAGCCCACAACACTTGGAAATATCCCACATCAGTCAAAATATCCAGCACCTTGTCAAAACCAAGGCAAACCCATGTGCACAAAGGCTGCTCCCATCAACTTGTCAAAACGAAGGCAAACCCATATGCACAGGTTGCCAGAAACCCTATTCCAGATCTAAAACACTTATCTTCTGAAGCCAACTTGAAATCAGGGGCATCACCTTTTTGGTGAGAAATCCAAATGTGCGACCAAGCATTCGTCAAGCTGCCGGAGGCCTAATCAAACAAGTAGCAGCTGCTGGAACACCTGTTCCATTATGCTTCAAGCAAACCCTTCCAGCGTCTGCTCCACCTACATTATCAAGCAATAGCTTCACAGTAGCTGATGTATCCTTCTCATCAAAACTTTCAATGTACTGAAGAGCCATTGAAGAAGACCAAAGCACTCCCTAAGGTCTCAACTCTTTAGGGGTGTTTTGGGGCCTAGTGCTGCAAACTCAGACAGGGGCGCAAGAGAGCTCGATCTACTTCGCAGTAATCCAACAAGCCCATTGCAGCTCTCAACAAAAAGACCCCAACACATGGTAAGATATATGAGTAACTTAGTAGTACATAGAGTTCCTATAAGGTTCAAATTTTGCACTGTCTTCATCATCTCTATGTGTACTGTGAAGAGTAGTCATCAAATGATAAATCCCCAACATATTTTTGCATGTATTTGTTAACATGCCACCCTTATGGATCTGATATTGGTTTACGTTGCCCATAAGCAAAATCGTTTGAAGATTGGGTCTCGGATTCTTTCCATGAGTCACTCGATTCCATCCCAAAAGGCATGGGAATATGAATGGTGAGGAAATGGTTGGTTTTGTGTATAACCATAACTACTACTTCTCATTCCATCCCAAAAGGTTGTGTGTTTTTTTTTTCTTTTTCCATTCCATGTACATATCTTAATATTATAGATAATATCCCGATATTTTGTCCAAATGCTACTAAAGAAGAGTGAAATTCTCATATCCGAAATTTTCCCCATATTATCGATACTTATATGATAATTATATGGATAGGTTCCAAAAAATCCTCCTCTTTTCACCAAAAAAAATATTCTCTTCCCAAAAAATTGATAATATGTGCTATATTTCATCGATAATATCGATATTTTAGACCTTGATTAAAACTAGATGCCTATGATACACATAAAATTGTAAAATGGACTTTGTTTTGGATAAATGCATATCAAATTAGTGACAATAATTTAATCAGATGCATAACTAAATTGAATGACAATGATAAGGTGACATAACAATTTTTCATAATTAGGCAAGCATGCCAAAGCCAAAGTTATAAAATGGTACTGTATCACCACGTCAATTGGTGATACATCCATTCAAAATATGTCATGTGTTATTTTTTAAAAATAATTAAAGTTTTTTTTATAGCTGACTTTGAATTTATTTTTAACTTTAAAATAGAATTGAGAAAATAGGAAAAAGGAAGAGCCACCGCCCATCCGTTGCCTCCCCTTGCTGTCGCGCCCTCCCTCTCTTTTTCGTCCTCCCTCCATCTCTTTACTCCATAAACAACAACTACTGCCCATAAAGAATCCAATGTATTTCCATACAGAGCATTTTGAACCATTGGATCGGTGGCAAGGAAAGACAGTGCGAAGTAGGGAACTGGGCTGTGGTGTGGTGGGTTATGGCATCTTTAGTTTTTTAGTTTTTTAAAATTTATTAAAAAGGAAATATTGAATTTTAAATCCAGTTATTAAAAAGTTAATAATTTATTATAATAGATTGACACGTGTTATATTTTAAATGAAAATATCACCAATTGACGTGGTAATACCGTACTATTTTATAATTTCTCTCATATTTGAAGTGGTCTTGACCCTTCCCTCTTTTTACAACCTTTTTAATTCCTGACAAAAATATATGATATGTTGTACAAAATATTTTACGATTAATTAAGATAAGAAAATAATTTACAATTATGATATTTGACCCTCATTTAAGATAATAAAATAATTTACAATTAAGTTTTAAATTTTGACCCTTTCGATGGTATGGAATAATCCTAATCGAGTGGTTAATGTGATAGCCTACCTTGGGCTTTGGTTTGTATTTTGGGCCTCCCGTAAATCCATAAAAGAAAAACAATTATGACCACTGACACCAACATATCATATCATCCCCTACTGAGTCCATTATTCAAGCACTGACTCACCTCAGCTTTAGCTCACAACTCAATTCATTTCTCTGACAATTTTCCCATCAACTATTTTCTTTTGTAGAAATAATTTGACCCTGACAATTTTATGTCATTTCAACAGATTCAGTCATTTTCGTTTTTCAGCTTTTCTTGTACAAAGATATTGAGATGTGACCCTAAGTGTATTAAATAAAAAAAATATCTAGCCAAAATTAATAGAAGAGAAAAATTCCCATATGGCTTATTGCAAAAAGGAAGGCCAACAGAACCAATTTCTCACAACCTACTTTCTATCAATACACACAAAATCAAACAATGTCGAAGAAGCCTGATTCAAAGCCTGTGTATGGTTATTGTGGCTACCTAGAGGTGATGCCCTTGAGCAAGGGATCCTCTTCTTCACAGCTCAACGAGTCTGCAGAACTTCAGATGAAAGATCGATATTCGTATAAGGATGCATATGGTGGAGGAGGTTCAAGCAGCTTTACTAGGAGCTACAAGGCTGGGGAGTTTGTGGACAAGAGTACTGGTGGCTTGGGCTACGAGCAAGAGGCAAACTACACCTCCTCTGACAAGTATGTGGACAAGGAGCTAGGGTTTACCACTGAGTACCAGACCCAGGTGAAGTTCAAGAAGTCTGTTTACCCTAACAAGACCCAAGTGAAGTTCAAGAAGTCTGGTTCTCCTTATAAGAGTGGAACCAAGTCCTACAACAATCGCGTTGACTATTATTAATTAGGTTTAGATGTTCACTGGGATTTCTTGGTATTTTGAAATGCGGGCTTGTAATGAACCTAGTTATGTGTCTAAGCTTGTTTATGCTTACTTGGATTAATCTCCTGCTATCCGCTGTCAATGTGAATGAAGTAGTTCTCTCTTTCTTATGTAATGAACTTGTAAGTTGTTATTATGTCTAGCTTGTTTATTTATATATAAATGTGTGTTTCTGTGTAAATGTGTAAATTGTCTAATTATATATAAATGCCATTTTGCTACCTCGACAACATGGCATCAACAAAGGCCCAACGAAGGTGGAACTAGTAAGCGCTCTTGTGCTGAAATGTGCAGTTAAAGCTGCTAAACTTCCATTGAAATCGGAGAGATCGATACTCCTGCAAGCCGTGGACTTGAGCAGGAGAATGGTCCCTCCAGTCCCGGACAATGCTGTTTGATTACTCCTATGTGCTTCAGTAACCACATTATTTTGTTTGATACAAAATGGGGTGAAGATATTGAAGCTTTGGGGACCTCGGATGCAGAAGAGATGGCTATATTTGAACGTGATAAGAAGCTTCTTGCATTTGCTTCCTTGAACCCAATGAGTCACCCCAGCATTTGATGTGAGAAGCAATCGATATTTGTTGCATATTCTTTGTTTCATTAGAACAAAGATATAAAAAGCGAGAACAAAATTTTTAGCAAAAAATATATAAAATAATTTCAAATCATAACAGGTTGACAAACTAGCTAGCTTTTGTTGTATGGTATTTTTCTTCCAGAGATGCTAAATTTGAATTGTCCTATCCACTTGATAAAAAAAATTTAAAACAAAATTGTAGTTTTGGGAAATGAATTTGTACTTCTTCTTAAAGACCTTTTGCACCTTGAAACTAAGAAAAGAAGACGATCGTCAGTCTTTGAACACATTGGTCTGGTGTGAGTCAAAGCATCTCTGATATCTATAGTCAATATGATTGTATAAAGAGAAAAGTAGGGTTTCTTAGCTCAAGGAACAGTAACCTTTTTCGAGGTGACTGCAATTATTTATTGGGCCAGCCCTCGTTGTAGGCCCAAAAGTCACATAACGTGGAGTACAAGAAAGCCAAAAACCTAGTACACTTCCATTTTTAAGACAACTCCGAATTGGATTATGGCTCCTTGTAGAACCAGAAAACCCAAGAGACAAAAAACTGGAGAATCATTACACTAACAAATATGAAGTACAAGAAATCAATGGGACTTTAAGCACATCACCATTTGTCTTCAAGCAGCAGGAATCCTTCAAAGTTGTTGAACCGGTACCAAGCTCAAAATCGAAAAAATGCAGTTTAGGCTCAAACCGATTGAACTAAATCGTCTTAAATTGATTTATTTTAGTTCAATTTCCTCCGTAATTTTTATCAAAATCGAACCGAACCAAATGATTTGTCCATTTGTTATCTTTCCATGGATTGAGATTGATTTGGAAATGACATAAGAGCCCATGGAACAACTATATGGTTTTACTTTACTTGGATACCGTATCCGTGACCACTGACAACACCCACACCGTTACTTAAATTGTTTGTATAAAATAAATAAGGGATTTTAAAGCCTCTGACACACCTCTGCTGGCGCCCTGCTGGCTCGATTAAACCTGTCTGTCCCTTCCTCTGACATTTCATATTCCCGCCTTTTTTCCCCCTCCTCCTTTTCTATTCCTGCAATTATTTACTTGTTTATTCATCTTTTCTTCTCCCAGCTTTCCTGATTTCTCAACTTTCTAGGCCAGCACAAGCACGAATTATTATTTCCCAACCCTTAAAAAAACGCAAAAATTTAACAAATATAATATTAAATTCCTTTTTAAATGTATTATTCCTTGGCTTTGCAACCCAATACATATATGTTTATAAAATAACAAAAAGTGAAAATATTGGTATAAAAATTATTGGCTCATATTTTTAGAATATTCAAAAAAAAAAATACCCAGATCTCACGAGATTTGGAATATAAAAAGAAGAGTAAAAATTCGAAAATAATGGGATTTCTATAAATTTTTTTGACTTTACAGTATCCGTTTCAGGTTACATGTACAAGAGTATTGATTACATTTGCTGCCAACCGCCCAAACAGCCACTGAGAACTCGCCATTTCGGAAATGCGGGTCCCACCAAGCACATACCACAAAAAGATCTAGCTGTCGTCAACTATGCAATGCAGCAAATGCTATGCGCACCCATTGGCTGGCAAAACCATTTCTCCTTCCTCCAAATTCCAACTTGTCCACGCGGTCGGCGTCCTATTGGCTCGAAACTCTCGACCTTCTGTACGACCTGGCCCGCTTGTTCGCCAGAGCGGAAAGAACCCGCCACGTGGCGTCACCTTCGTGGACCCGATCGTTGAACATCAGGGCCCGCGGAACGCGCGGGTCCCACAGGTTCTTTTGAATTGCGCTCAAGTTCGTCGCCGCCACGTGTTCGAGTATCTCTGCCAGCTTACCCACGTCTTTCTCCGCTACGTTTACCGATATCTCCGCCCACGGAACGACGTCGTCGAAGGGCAACCGTATCCCGTCCGCTATGATCACCGGCACGCAGCCCAGGGCGACCGATTCAACCAGTCTAGGGCTCCACGGGGCCCACCCCAAGGGGCAGAGACAAAACACCGACCGCACGATCTCCGACTGGTAACCGGCGAACCGATGCCTCTGCAGGAAGAACCTCCGGTCACCGTTGTACTTCCGCCACAGCATTGTCCTCACCCGCCTTGAAAAAGACGAGGGTAAATCAGTCAATTCACAAAACATAATGATTATGAGTTTGATTAGTTTCATTTACTTGCTTAATTATTAAACAATTATTACTTGCTGTAGAAACGGCCGCTGATGTTTTTTGGGTGGACCTCCATCTTGCCCCGGAAGAAAGCGAAGATGTCTCGTCGGGCGGTGACCGGAGATTTCTCCAGCGTCCTGAATACACTTTCCGGCGAAACGTACGGCGGAATGACCACATTCTCAACCTCTTGACATGGGTGTTTCTGTTTCACACCGAACGTCTGTAACACGATGGAGTTCTTTAAGAACCCCGGTATACCATCCGATATCGCCACATCCTCCTGAGAAAACGAAAACCCAGTATACTATTTTAGATATTCAGGAAAACAAAAACAAAAAAGAACCGTTTTTTATTTGTCACCGCCCAATTGAATTACCATGGTGTGGAAGCAAGAACCGAAGTCATGGGAAGCGACGAAGACGTGGTCGGAGCCGTGGGACCGATCCCAAAATGGGTATTGGGTGGATATTAAATTAATGGCGGAGGCTATGAGAGAACGAGCGTGGCCTATTGCGGGGAAGCCATTGACGGTGCTGAAGTTGCAGGAAACGTAGACAGGGACGAAGAAGAAGTCCGCTTCGTATGGGTCAACGGTCAAATATTCGCTTGTCAAAAGCGCCCTGTGAATGGCGACCTCGGAAGCAAACAAGTGGGTGCTGCATCTCTCGTTTTTTAGCCAATCCGTGTTGTATTTCGCTGGCAAATCGTATACGAAAATCTTCAGGCCGTTGAAGTGCAAGCCTGAAAAACACAGAAAAAAACTTGCTTTAGAATTAATTCATCAAATTTGTCTAAAAACCATGAAAAGAAAAAATATGGGATTTTTTTAGATTGACGAAAATGGGTTATTGACCTTGTTTCTGTGTGATGTTATTGGTGGTGGATTCGAAGAGGGCACGATAGGCTAAGCTTGAGAAATGGGTTTTGGAGAGGGAGGTGGGTTTGTTGTTGTTGTTCTGATTGGGGTGATTGCTGATGAGATAGGAGCTGAAGAAGTACAAGGAGAGGGAGAGCCAGAGAACCCATTTGCAATTTCTATAAAAGAAGCTTTTTTTCTCTAATTGAGGTACTGATGATCTTCCATGTTTGCTGGGCAAGAGCTTCATTCTGACATAGAACCCTCTGTTTTTCGGGGCTCTGAACTTCTGTTCCAACATCTCATTTAAAAACCCAGAAAAGATTCAAGCTTTTGGTGAAATATTCTGAGAAAACGAAAGGGTTTTCAGTGGTTGCGGGAGGGCTTTCGGTTCTTGGTCTGGTGATGAAGTGGAAACGAAGGAACAGTGACGGATGAAATGTGGGTTTGTTGGCGTTTCGTTTTTGGACCAAAAAATAAAATTAAGAAATGGAGAAAAAGTTCAAATCTTTGATGTGGTTGAGCTCTGTTTACATGTGAAAATGGAATAAAAAATTGAAATTAAGAAATAATCAAATATTAAAGAATGAAAATGGTGCGCACAGTTGCAGACAGAGATCAGAGAGGAAGAGCTGGGTTTCAGGGGTGTCACATGGTGGTGAAGGAGAGCAGAAGAAAGAATGGACCTCGGCGATGGTCTCGGGTTGCTGTAATGTAATGCTTCTTTGGGTGGCAGGTCCTTTCAGAATTGGACAGCTCAAATGACGAAATTACCCTCGGTCTTTTGTACCTTCAAAATGTTACAGTTTTCACCTGTGCTGGGTGGTTTTTAGGCTTTTTTTTATTAAAGCATTATGCTAAAGTGGGTGATTTTATCTTTGGATTATCCGATAAGCCAGTCTTTAAGCATCTGCTTAATCAAATCTAACACCATCAATAACAACTGTCTCTCAGTTCTATTTTGATTAATAATTGACACGTATGGTAATAGAATCGGTCGAGAATTTCATTTCATTTATAAAAAGAAAGTAATTTAGAAAACGGAGAGAATGTTCGGTATAGGGGCAAATATGGTATAAGAAATTAAGGTCCAAAAAAGGGTTCACAGCGTGGCCACATTCAAAAAGGAACATTTTTTGGGCAAAATGGGGCACTTCATAAAGTACCTTTGGGAGCTCATACCGCTGAGGAGGACATGCAATTAAAATGGAGATCAAAGAGCAGGGAAAGCTTTAGTTATGAAACCTAGGATGAGAGAATGCCACGAAATTCCCGTGTAAATTTAAAGTTAGCGGTTTCAACCGTAATTTTAAAACTTTAAATGGGGATTTGATAATAAACAACATGAACCAATTCATGCCAAAGGACATAAATAATTTAATTGATGACTATGTGGATGAACTCCATCCCAAAAATATATCATTGGATGAATTAACGCATGGACATTCCAAAAAAGGTACGAAAAAAAATTCACTTCTTAAAATTGAGGACGAATTCTTAAAAGATTTCAAAGAAAACAAAAACATAGAAAATAAATTGCTCTTCGAAAGTGTTTGAAGCC